ATAGTCAAAACTGTGTGAGTAAGAACTTAGCCAACGACAGTAATTTGTAAATGCTTTTAATGATAATCCTGAATGTTGCTGAGTATTTACTGCACATAAAATACCTTCTTTTTGAGCTTCTCCTACGCAGAAGCTATGTAAGGCACTGTGCATTCTACAAGTCTTTATTTTTCCGTTACAACTTCGATCTTCAATTAAGAGAAGACTTCTATCAGTAAGCTCTTGTAAGTAGACATAAGCTTGATCATCTAAGCAATTTAACCAGGATGACTTCACAAATCCCTCGGCAATCCACAACCTTTTGAGCATTTTAACTAGAATTTTTTTACGTTTTGGGAAGACTCCAAAGTATAGAAAGCAAACTTTCAAATGATGTGGCAACATATTGTAACTAACACTGAGTGCATTGCGATCTAGAAGTCCCAATGACTCTAATTCCTTTTCAATCTTTTTCCACCCTTGTTGTATGTTGTTGCATTTAGATAAACGCTTGGCAACTTCAACAATTAACTGGGGTAATCCATCACATTTCTCCACAACATGGTTCCTAATTTTTTCAAATTTAGGGGCCAAGTGTTCTTCATCAATAGGAAGGATATTACAAAATAGTTCCCAGCTTTCTTTTGGATCTAGCAAAGTCATCTTATGGATATATCTTATCCTGTGGACATCTAGGTTGAAGTAGAGTCTAGTGGTTACTAATATGTAACTTCCAACTAATCCATTAGAAACACACCCTATGATGTCAGCCCAAGCTTGGTTCCAAGTTTGCTTGCTCGTAATGTTGTCGAAAACAATTAGATACTTCTTACCACCAAAGCATTTGCGTACCTGCATTTGTAGTTCATGAGGAGTGCTTCCCTTTTTAATTACATTTGGCTCTTCTACTGGTGTAATTGACTGAAGAAGTTGGCTTAGCATTCTGCTCTTATTGTAGTGTTGAGGAGGAGGCATAGTAACCCAACATCTTACATGGAAATAGGATGCAACTGATGGATCTTCATACACATTTCTTGCTACAGTAGTCTTACCAATACCCACCATTCCAACAATTGAGATTATATTTAGTCTAGAACCGCCAGAAAAGAGTTGGTTCTTTATGAGTGTACAATCACGGTGATGACCAACCATTCTGGCCTCAGGCTTTAGAAAGGCATGCGAGGTGGATCCATCAGACTCAACATTCGCAGCGCTAGCATGTTTTAACCAAGTATTTGATGGTTGAGTTTGATTTGCCTCATCATCATCATCCACTTCATTTCTGGTGATGATTATGTTCAACAACTGTCTTGCGCTTTCTGATGCTTCTTGCAATATGTGATGGAGTTTCTGGGAAGCTTTTTCTTGATGTACAGGGTGTTTGGCTAGAAGGAAGTTTTTTAGTTGTATTTTGAGGTCATCTTCAGTTTTGAGTGCGAAGTTTCTGATTTTGGTTTCCAATTCTTTGATTGCAGCACCGGAATTATTGGAATTCCTCTCCTGCAATAACCAGTCTCGCAGGATAGAAAGCTGGGATGAGAAATATGCCATTTTCCTTGCTGTTCTATCACAACCATACACTGTTGGGATCCGGAAGTGTTGCTCAATTTTTTTGATGAGAATAGTTAAAGCAACAGTAGCACTACCCATTTTTAATGACTCCAACAGCTCTGTTGCATTTTTTGCAGCTTCTTGCAATGTTTGATGGAGGAGGAGTTGATGGGAAGCTGCAGCTTTTTCTCCTCCTTGTTGATGAAGGATGAAGTTGCTAAGGTGTAGTTCAATGTCGTCTTCAGCTTTGAGTGCAAACTCTCTGATTTCCATTTCTAAATCTCTCACTTTCACTGCATCACCATCACCACTGGATTCCATCCGGAGAAGGGCTTGCAAATAAGAAAGGTTTTCAAGGAAAGAATTGATTCCTGCTTGATCATGATGATGGAGAGACAGGCTTACCCTTGGTGTTTGCCCAACAAACTCAATCTCAATGGTTTTAATGAGAAAAGCTAAAGCAACACAAGCCATCTATCTCTCAATTCCAATCTTTAATTTGCTGGTAAGAATATGTGTGTAGTTTTAATTTTTGGTATTGCACACTGAAATCTAGATAAAATATGCAAGCAAGAGTCTCAGTGAGAAGAGCTTAAATTAGCTTAGTTTGCTGGCATATATGGTTTTTTTTCAAAGTTTATTAATAATCTGAAATTAAAGTGGTCTATTTGAGGACATGAATGCATTATTTTTCATCAGAAAATGATATGCGTACTCTCATGGAGTATAACTCTCGCCATGTATACAAATTTTATTAGGTAAATAAAAATGAATGTATAAAAACAATGACTCATTCTGTTCTTTAAATCAATCAAAGATAATATCTCAACAAAAAATAAAAAATGAAATAAAGAGTGAGAGTACATTTAGTATTTACTCTTTTTCATATCATCTTTTTTTAAATTTTCATTATGCTTTATTTGTCGTCTTCTCATCACTACATCACTTCCATCTCATAACTAAACAATTCCTTTCCCATTATATATTAATTAATACTCCGTATATAATAAACTTGGCAACTTTAATAATGCAATTATACGATTTGTTGTCTTCGTCGTCGTTTCACAGCCAAGCGTCTAACGCCTCATTCGATTTCAACCTGATAATAATAATAAAATATAAAATAAAATAATTACATGACATTTCAATCAGCACAAACATGTTGTTAACCTGATAAAAATGTTAATTGCTCTTTTTTATCGAATTCATTTATAATTTTTGAAACTTATTTGAGTTTAATGGCTTAATTATTATTCTTCAAATAGTTCAATAGTTTATTTGTACTTTTTTTTTTAATCCTTCTGTCTTCTTAGTATGTTAAAAATAAAATTAATAGCTAAAATATTTGCATTATTGTGGCTCCATCCCCATATCTTTACACTCCATATACCACTACTAAAGTTGATAGCTAAAAAGTTCTTTTAACATACTCACATAAGAAAGTTTGCATTATTGTAGCAACTTTAATTATACAATTCATTAAATAATGTTATCTTTTCAATGTTAATAATCACAAAAACCTACCCGAGGGCCATGGAGGCTGGAGCATTTGCTTCAAGCCAAATATGTCATTTTTTAAGTACTACTACCGCACTATTAATTTCTAACCTCTTCCATGACCAATTGCCAAATATGCCCACCCCTACTGGGCTTAACCCATGATCTCACATTTGAAAGAATCACTTCATGCCACTCGATCACAAGGTCATTAACGCCAAATATGACATATATTACTTTAAGAATGTCAAATTCACAGAAATGACACATTTCTTAGGAATGTGTTTAATTTGTGTTTTTTTTTTTTTTGGTGAATGTGTTTAATTTGTGTTTGGTTAACACTAAGATAATACAAAATTAATTTATTTGATTGAGAGTTATGTTTTATATATATATATATCATAATAAGTACTCCGTATTTTACTTAAATGCCTTCATCTTGTTTGGGTGAGGGAGAAATAAAGGAATTGAATATGGCAAGACTTCAATTGTTGAATAATACAAGACTTCTATTAATAAGCTTCATCTTGTAAATACCCATAATATTCACTAGTACAAAAATTATCATAAAAATAGGATAATTCTCGTCTGGTGTTTAAACACCAGACGCATAAAGTGACGCGCGCGGTGATATGTTATAATTAAAAGTTCACTATTTAATTATTCTTTATTTTTTTTAAATAATAGACAATTTGCGTCCGCAGATAATCTCCGATTTTTTTAATTAAATAAAATACAATATGCGTCCGATGTTAATAGCACCAGAAGCAAATAGTTAGGGTTTTTCAACATAACAAAAACCCAATTTTTTCCCGGCCCCATCATCTACCAGCCATCTCTCCATAGCCTGCGCCCTCCATCGTCTTCCCCAGCGAACAAAATTGCCTCCGCCACCTTCAGCCACGTCGCCTCTGCTACCATCGTCTTCCACATCGTTTGCACAACCGCCATCGGTCTCCAGCTACCTCGCCGTTCTCTAACAAATTCAAAGCCCATTTAGTAATCCATAATCTAATTAGTGTTGTAAAATAATAAAGAACATCGAGAAATAGAGAGATAAGGGAGAGAAGAAAGAAGAAGAATCTCAACTCATAGAACTGCAGGTCACTAATTTCATTGATCATTTTGCTTTACATATATGCCTACATTATAGTAACCACTCCCTCATAACTACTTCATAATACAATCTCTATCTCTATCTCTATATATATTAAAACAAAATGAAGCAGGTAAAATTTTCCCACCCAGCAGGAACGACGAGGTTTTGATAGGTTGAAAATATTAAATGTCAAATTAATTCGTACTGACCATAATGACCTGTTTCAAAAATATCTGAGTGACCGAAAAATCCGTACGAATTAAAGGTTAACGATTCGGAGCTGACCGAAGCATCCAAAACAAAACACAAATCAGTGTATCAAAGCATCATTAGCTTGTGCTAGTGCTTAGGAAATAAGCACGAGTCGTGCTATACAAAGCACGAATCGATGCTTTTCCATAAGTACTGATTTGGTGCTAAATAGTTAGCAACAATTTGTGCTAACTGAAGCACTACGAATTTAAGTGCTGTAATTAGCACTTAAAGCATTCAATTAAATCTTTAATAAAGTGCTAATTAAGTACTAATTCAAATGCTTAACCCACCTTTAGTAATTGCTAACAAATTAGCATTATTCAACATTTTGATTTCTTTCAAATAGGTTCACTTTGAAAATGAATTTCTCCTTCATCTATTACCCATTTTGAGCATACATTATATCAAATTCTTCGTCTCACTATGAAGAGTGCGAATCCACTTTGACCCGACCCAAATCGGAAGTGGACCCCACATATATTTGTACCACAAAATAACCACTCAAAATTGCTATTTTATGCTAAAAATTCCAACAATACTCCACATGAATGAAAATTGATTTTTGGGACGAGAAAAAACGATACGAACATGCTCAACGGTCGACCCCTGCATAGCATAGGTAGGTGTTACCATTTGAATCTTGCCTTGTGAAGTTATGTTTACTCTACTGGCTGTATGGTAGAACTTGATGTCTTTGAACCAACTACCGTTTGTGTAGACGATGACATATCCCACACAGGAACCTTCCAACCTTTGTTCTGTTCTCATGGGTGTGCTCGTTTTGGTCATGGGTCACCTTCCTGGTTCTGCAAGAGTTTCTAAAGAATTGAGCCCGTTAATTCTCCTTTGAAGCGACCCCACTTTTCTCTCACATAGGTGATTCTTTACCGAGTATCCCGCATACTCACACATGTCAACCGACATTCGAATCATTAAAGCATCCTCGTGCTAACCTCGTGCGGGAGTCACTGTTCTAACGAGGAATGGTAGGGAGTCTAAGACCCCCACAGTGACACGCTTTGTTCCATAATTTTGTTTTCCCATTGAACCTAGGTACCAGCTAGGTTGGGTGTACACTATAGAACTTTTATTCCAAGGACTTCAAATCCATTTCTCGTGCCAACTTCTTAACAACCATTGGTTACCCTCAGGTTAGCAGCCGCTACGTTGTCCTTTGACCTCACTAGTTAACAGAGAAAACACTAGTTGTGAGAAATTGTTTAATGGTATTATGTCTACGACTTATAAGTCTAGACTTACCATACACATACAACTCTATACTTAACCAATTTTGGCTTGACTATCGCAATGCACACAAATTGGAGGTATGAGTTTTCCTCAATTAGGAATATTCTTGAGAAAATGACGTATCCATTCAGCCTCTTTGTGACACTTGTCTAAGACTTTCAGTTTAGATTCTAATAAGTGTAAAAGACACACACTTTTAAGGTCCATTTGGGGTGAGTTCTAAGCCAAAAACAATCCTTTGTATATCCATTTTATGCCAATTTAGCTATGTTTTGCATTTTATTATAAATTACCACGACGCTTTGTGTTTTATATGTTTTTAGGTAAGTTTCGGGCTAAAACGAGGCAAAGTGACACAACTCAGAGGAAAGCAGGACAAAAGAGGCAAGCCGAAAGAGCCACGCAGGCCACAACGTTATGTTGTAACGTACGTTGTGGAAAAGCAGAAGCAAGGATGATTTCCCGAATGATCAACACGCATCACAACATGCGTTGGTCAGGATAAGTTCCCGAACAATGTGCGTTGTTCGGGCGTTGCGAGCCGCATGGATGAGCTGTGAAAGTGGATTGAAAGGGAAAGTTATTTAATAACTTTTAGATTAGATTTTAGGGAGGCTTTTTGGTGGTTTTGAGAGAGAAAACACTTTGTAGAGAGATTTTAGTAGATCTATGCTTGGATTTCTTGGGAGATTCATTGAAGGAGGAGATTGACAACCTCCATTTCAAGAGATCCTGCAAGACTTCTTCTTATTTTCTAATCTACTTGTTTGGTAAATCTCTATTCTTTTCATTTCTATTTACTTGATTAGATTTAGATTCATGAATGCTTTTATGATTCCTATAGCTATTGTAGGCTAGATTAGTTAGGGTTTGAATTGTGAAAGTGTGTGATGATGATGCCTTTGTGACTTAGTTCTTGAATTAGGGATTAATTGTTTGCAATGCTTCTATGTCTTGTTGTTTGGGTTTGATTTGTTTGCATCTAAGGAGCTTGATCACCTCCTATGGTTCTGTTGAGGGATTGACCTTTGCTAGGTTAATTCAAGCTCCCATCCTTAGCATTTCCTAGCTCAAAGAATCCTATGGCCTTGGTTGGGGAGGAATTGTAGGCAAGGTATTCGATGAAAGGTTTAGGTGAGCCTTAAGCAAGTCCTAGTAGTCTAAGTTTTGAAAGGACGCAAGCAATTCCCTAGACATAGCATTTGCATCCTCTTTCCCTATGTTAAATGATTCTAAGAGCATCTTAATCCACACTAAGCAATTCAACCCTATCTACTTTACATTTGTTTACAACTTGTTAGTAATTGTTTCATTAGTTCACTACGACAATCCATCTTATTTGTGTGCGCGTGACATGCAGTCAAATAATACCGATGTCTTTATTTTCTGAAATTAGCAAATTAGGGATAACTCCGACTTGCCATCCTTTGAGTACGACATAATCCAGGATTCATCCCAACACAAACTTTCTTTTGACGCATGAGTAAAAAACGAGCGAGTCAGATTCCATCATGGATCTAGCTCTCACAGATTGTTTCGAGAATTTCTACACAAACGACTACACTAGCTTACGTGACCACGTAGCCACTCATGGACTTAGCGTCCTTAAAGCTTGATATCCGGTTAACGTGCTATACTCTTCAAGTACAACTGGATATCACACGTAGTGTAGTCCACAGTCACGAGTATACCTTAAGTATCTCATAACTCTCACTATTGCCTTTTAGTGCGTATCACTATGGTTACTCGTATAACTACAGAGTTTATCGCAAATACAATATCATGCCTAGTACAACTCATTATATACAACTAAACTACCAATAATCTGAATGTATTCTCCTTGAGAAATACAATCTCCGTGATTTTTGGATAGTTGTACGTTAGTATCTAACAGTGTCCAAGTCACTTGATTATCATCCTTGCAAGGATTTAATCAACATAATGAGATTGGCTTAGCACTGACCATCCGGTCTTCTCACGATTTTAATCCTGAGGATTAAATCCGCCAAACCCATGCCCTTCATGTCAAATCTCAAATTTAACATGTTTCTGATAGATTTGATTATTTGATCGTTACTACCCACGGTGAGTCTATCGTGTATAAACAAATAGTGATATCATCGTATATCGTATGGCTTACATAGACACACTTGTCACTTTCGTTTATACTAAACTTGTTGGTCATCATTGCATGATCAAACTTCCCATGCCATTGTTAAGGCAACTGTTTCAAACCATAAAATGATTTCACGAGTTACACACTTTCTTTCTATAGCGCGGAACCACAAAACCCTCAGGTCGTTTCATGTCTATTAAGAAAGCGGTTTTACACATCCATTTGATAAACTTCCAAGTCTGATAAATGTTATTTTTATTATTAATTTATGCAGATTCTTTTTATAATTTATTTACAATTTTAGTTAATTTTGTATATTCTTTTATTTATTTTAATAATTAATTTAGTTTGGGCTTTTGGTATTTTTATTACAGTTAGTTTAGTTTTAGTTAATAATTTGTAGTTTTTTTTGTAAGTATTGTTATAACTAGTTTTGCTTTATCCTTATTATTAAGTTATACTAGTAGGTGCACCCGCGCGATGCGCGGCTATATATATAGTATGATATATATACAGTATAATATAATTAGATGAAAAAATATATAGTTTGAAAACCTAATAAATTTGAAATAATAAACTTTGTAATTTTATGATCACTCATGTATTGATTAAAGCTATCTACCACATCCACTGTTGGAGTCAAAATAACACTGTTCTTAAGATATGACAGATCACTTATACCGCGTCGAAACAAAGAGAATGTGTTATCAACAATTGCAGCAATACGATCATCGTCACACTTGAGCAATAAGTGATATGGAATTGTAATATTTGCTTCACTATCAGTTGAATTACCAACTACTCCATCACCTATATTAGCTATCCATTTTGCAAACTGTTTAATCTCTTTAGTCTCAATCTATGATTGTACACTTCTTAGGCGTAGATTCTTAGTTAGCCTAAATACTTTACAAGATCTCCAAAGATATGAGGAATTGATGCTTGCCCCAACAATATCTTGTCTTGTGATTACCTTAATTAATTGTATGAACCTATTTAGCTTTATCAAATATAAATATATATACTATTAATATACATAAAATAATGCGTATTCAGTGAAATACACTGTTACTATACGGTATTAATATACATAATATAATATATCTTTAATAATGGAATATGGGCCATGAATAACAAATACACTATTAATATACACGTAATACATTAATTTTAAAGAATGAAATAGATTTATGTCAAATACATGATTGAAAGAATAAAAGTACATTATGGTATATATCTTATCAAACAATGTATATTTAGTAATTTTAAACATGTAGATTTTGCAAATTATGCCGTGGAAACGTGTTCACCATGCTTGGTGAACACGGTCCCAAACGGCATCGTTTTTACCGGAAAAGAAATTTAGTTAATGTGCTGTTAATGACGTTCCACAAAATTTTAGTGTATGACAATGATTGTGTAGATTTAGTGTATTTAAAATGTACACGATATTCAGAATCCACACAACTAATTGCACAATTATACAACAAAATTTTACACTTAAATAATCAGGCTAATTAATATAATTAAACAATCAGGCCTATCTATATTATAAAACAATACAATATATACTTAAAAATCCAAGCCCAAGCCGGTGGCCCAATCTTATGACCCAATCCAAATTTCTGACCCGACCCAACGCCCTGGAGTATTTAAGCGATTTTGGCTTCATTTCTGATCTAGAGCGGACGCTTCGCCTTCTTTATCCTCTCTCTCCTCTCTCTCGAACATTCTCCCGTTCTCTGTCTCTTGGTCCGAATGTCTCCAATCCAACCTATAATCTCAGCTCTACGACCAATTTTTGGTTGTAGAAGGCTGTAAATGTGTTTGTCGAGCAACTCATATGCCAATAATCGTTCTCTACATCAGTCTTTCACTTGTACTATAAAATCGCGAGGTTGATTTCAAACCCTAATTTCAGAAAACCTATGAGATAAGTTATCTGGTCTATCTATTTTATACTGACTTTTTCGACTAATTATTTCGATTTTCTTGCCTATTTTGTTGTTCATGTTAGTTCAAGATTAGATTAGTGTTTTCCTATGTACATCAAATAGGGTGATTTGGTTCAAAAGCTGTTTATTTAAACTCTAGACCTTTATGCTATATTTTGGTGATTTGGTTCAATGTTCTGTGGATCATGTATGTTTAATTATAGTTCTTTATTAGAAACTGGGAATATAAACTCCTGTTTATTGAGCATGAATTCTGTAGTTCATGTATCCTATCCTAAGTTGGAAACTGATACTAACTAATTTAACAACTACTAATTCTTGCAGCTTAATGCAATTTCAAAAATAATTGATTCAGAAGATGAAGGCTAAACATCAGAAGGTAGTTAAAGAAATGTAAAGACTGTTAATGTAACATGCATACATCAAGTAAGAGTTCTAATTGTACCTTTGTTGTCAATACACTGCTTCTTGATGCTTTGATTTGCCTCATATCGTTGATGTTGTTAGCTAATTTTTGATGGTCAGCATGTATTTGAGATGTATGAAGCCTGATAGTTGCATTATGTAGTTTTCTTATTTTATATTCATTAATTACAGTTGTCAAAAAGCTTTTCACTAAACCATTAACATGATGACAATTCATTTTTTCCTTGAAATTGCTATCAATGTGTGCTACTTAATTTCTTCATTAAACAATTGTGTTCCCAATTTTGCCTTATTTTAGATTATGTAAAGGTTACTCACTTGTTTGTTTTCAGATTTTGACAAATGATGAATCCCAATTCTGATGCCAAATATTTTTCAGTTTTTGATCATTTCAGTTTGTACGTGTACACAGTTGATAGTTAGATGGGCCAAGTCTTCTGTAGTTGTAGTATATTGTGTAAATTTTGTAATTTTTTCTTTTGTTGAAGAGTAATGTAGCTATCAGACAATTTTTGTTAATGGTTTTGTAAACTTAATTTAAAGTTGAAGTTTGGTATCATTCAATAACTTTTTTGACTTGAAAACATTCTTGAAAGTATGTAAATTATAAATTTAGTGATTTTTAAATTTAGATTGTATTTTTTCCAACATCAGTTCTTCCATTTGGAACTGATAGTTGCTAACAAACCATTTTCTTAATTTACTGCTGATTAACCACTGTAACCTAGCATTAGTCCAGATTAGTCTGTTACCCTTTTTTGTAACTTACATTTTTTAAGGTGGACATATGTTTATTTACTTAGAAAACATTCTTTTAAGTATTTTATTTTCAATTTAGTGATTTTTAACATAAGATTATATTTTTTCCAATCAAAGTGGTAGTCATTTTGAACTGATAGTGGCTATAACCAAAACATAAGCTCTATAAGTTATGTAATGGTCTGATAGTCAAACTTAAAATGTAATGGTCTGATAGTAAAATCAATACCATTTATTTATTCTTTCAATTTTTAACTTTATTTTTTAACCAACAGTTTTCTTTAAAGGTCTTTTATAAGGTAGACAGATGTTTTTTGATTTGGAAACATTCTTCTAAGTATTTTCTTTTCAATTTAGGCATTTTGCATTGGGATTATATTTTGATTTAACAAATTCACAATTTTTAGTTAGTTTTTTTTTTTTTTTTTTTTTTTTTTTTTTTTAAAGTCCAGACATGTTTATTCCTGCAAACACAGTTTTTAATTTGTTTTGCACAATTTGTTTTTAATTTGTTATTTTAAAGTCCAGACTTAACAAATTGCAATGTTAATCGTTATATAAATAGATACATATTATAATTTTGTAGTTTGCTTTATGTGATTTTTAATTTTGTGCAGTTATTTTATGTAGACTGTACATCAGCACTGGTTTGTTAACAGCTGATTGTTTTCAATGCAAGTTCTTGACCAGTTTCCATTACACTTGTTCTGTAATGGTCTGATAGTAAAATCAATACCATTTATTTATTCTTCCCGTTTTTAACTTTATTTTTTAACCAACAGTTTTTTTAAAGGTATTTTATAAGGTAGACAGATGTTTTTTGATTTGAAAACATTCTTCTAAGTATTTTCTTTTCAATTTAGGCATTTTACATTGGGATTATATTTTGATTTAACAAATTCACACTTTTTAGTCTGTTTTTTTTTTTTTTTTTAAGTCCAGACATGTTTATTCCTGCAAACACAGTTTTTAATTTGTTTTGCACAATTTATTTTTAATTTGTTATTTTAAAGTCCAGACTTAACAAATTACAATGTTAATCATTATATAAATATATACATATTATAATTTTGTGGTTTGCTTTATGTGATTTGTAATTTTGTGCAGTTATTTTATGTAGATACATCAGCACTGGTTTGTTAGCAGCTGATTGTTTTCAATGCAAGTTCTTGACCAGTTTTCATTACACTTGTTCTGTAATGGTCTAAAAGTAAAATCAATACCATTTATTTATTCTTCCAGTTTTTAACCAACAATTCTTTTAAAGGTATTTTATAAGGTAGACAGATGTTTTTTGATTTGAAAACATTCTTCTAAGTATTTTCTTTTCAATTTAGGCATTTTACATTGGGATTATATTTTGATTCAACAAATTCACACTTTTTAGTTAGTTTTTTTTTTTTTTAAAAGTCCAGACATGTTTATTCCTGCAAACACAGTTTTTAATTTGTTTTGCACAATTTGTTTTTAATTTGTTATTTTAAAGTCCAGACTTAACAAATTGCAATGTTAATCGTTATATAAATAGATACATATTATATTTTTGTGATTTGCTTTATGTTATTTGTAATTTTGTACAGTTATTTTATATAGACTGTACATCAGCACTGGTTTGTTAGCAGTTGATTATTTTCAAGGAAAGTTCTTGACCAGTTTCCATTACACTTGTTCCTTTTTTTTTCTTGGAATCTTTAGAAAATATTTATTTTAGAAACAGGCAACTCGCAAGACTCAAAACAATTTCTTCTAATTTTTTTTTTTGAATATTTCTTTCTTCTATTTAATACAATATATCTCATGTGTTTTTGTTGAAGTTAATAGATGGCAGAAAACATGCACGTTTTCAAAGGTAGTGATAATAGTCAATAAAATAGGCATGGATGTCACTTTACAATGTTCTTTCATTACATGCAGGCTATTTATCTATAAAATAATAGGATATGTGGTTCAAAATGAGAGCCTGATATCCAGAGCTTCCCGAGTAAGTGTAAACTTATTCCCTACTTGTATTTTGAAATTTACAATTTGCATGTGTTTTATATACTTAAATCTCTAATGATCTTATAAGTTAGCTTTACAAAGTAAAGTTGTGTACACTTTAGGAAATAATAAAGTTGTTAGAGAAAAGCTATTGTCAACATAATATTGGTGGCATGTTTTATGACTAATACACAATATTGGTGGCCTGCTTTACGACTATATTCTTCAATAAAGCCCTGATTTTGCCTCAATCACCTCAAGATCATGGAATGTTCTCCTTACATCATTTTACCTACAAAACAATGTATTAATTACATATTGATATTAGAATTGGTAATAAAAATGAAGCTTTAATACCATTTTGGAATTCAAATGTATTCATCTTCACTGCCTTGTTGGAGTACATCATACAACATTTCGAAGTGACAGAAACCAATAGTCTAATACAAAAAATAGATAAAGAAATAGAAAATAAATCAAACATGAATATAGGATTAATTGAAAAAATTAAATTATGTAGCTAATTAGTTTTGTTCACATGTTTGAATTGATGTCAATAGTCTACTGTATGTCCATAGTGAAGCAATGTGATACAACTAATTTGAGTTATATATATTTTACAATTTATATGTAGGTACTGTTTTAATTCTTAGTCTACTGTATGTCTATAGTTAAGCCATGTGATACAGTATTTTTTGTTCCAACTCTAAACAGTAATTAAAATATGATTCTATTTTCTACTTGCACAAGAATCTGTTAAGAAGAGAAGAAGTACCAAAAGGAATCCTTACTCTAGATCCATAGTTGGTGCAACCTTGGAGGTCATTCAGAAGAAGAGAGCTGAAAAACAGAAGCCAGGGATGCTGTTAGGGAGGGCGGGAGGCTGCACTCAGGTACCTTCAATAGTTGCTTCTTTCTAGCTAACAATTTGTGTCTGATCATTCCCATAGGAGTAAATAGATTAGTACAAAAAAACATATTACATTAGTTTAATAACAAAAAATAAATATTATTTAGTATACTATTAGTATAATAAAACAGATTAGTATTAAGAATAAATAAATAAAAAGATTATAAACCAAAAAACTGAAAACAGATTCAATTCAAGAAACAGATTTCTTTCTACATTATGAAGATTACATTGTGAAAGGCATAATGAAAATACCCCATCTAGAGTTCAATTTTTTCTACATTGTGCAATTCATATCATGGAAAACTAAAGTGTTTCTATACTGCATAAATATTTAAAATGAAGGAAGTTCATATAGTAAAACTTTTACAATTATTTCAATTCTTCATTAGATAGAGCTGCTTTAAAATGATATAAAAGAAAACAATGATAATCACCTCTTGTTTGCTGATCTTTCTTTTGTGCTTCAATGTAGATGTAGAGGAAAAGCTGAGAAATTTGAAAAAAAAAATTACATAAACATGATAAAGAGAGATAGAGAAGGATTAAATAAGTGGTAACAACCATTTTTGAAGTAAGGTATGCTCAAAACTATACCTTTAATTCTTCTGAATATACATTGCAATCCTCAACTGCAATGCTTTTCAAGTTCAAGCTGAATGGCTTCCCCAACACCAATGAATACCAGCATGGTCTGTAATCAACTTCCGAATCTCTACCTCATCTATGTACTGAGATGGCATGGTATCTTCGCTGCTGTTTTTTGTCTTTTCTTTGTGTATTTGCAGGTGGTTCGAAGTGGATAGATGGTGAATTTGGGACTGCAGATTGCTATCATGGGAGCTTTATATAGATGCTGAACAGTGACTTTTCGAATTTGAACTGTCTTGGAAATATGAAAGGCTGATCAAAACGTTTCATAGTCCAAGATTACATTCATTATGCTTATGTTCTCGATGTATTTATTATTCTGAATATTGGGTGATGTTCCAAGATAAATTACCTAGAATACTGATATGCAATGTGAACAACAATAAATGCGCACTGATTCATTTAGGCTATTAAAATGGCACCGTTTTCATTGAGCGGGAAAAAATGATTGGCAAAACTTCTTGCTTTATTATAGAGTTAGATAGATTTATTTAAAGTTCTGAGAGACTAATAACTCTTTTAATTTTTACTTTTTAATAAAAATAATTTCCTATATTTATGAGTCAATAACGATATGATGAGGCGAGAAAGGAGATCTGCCATGGCGATCGCATCGAAGGAGAACGGCTAAGCTTTGGAGGAAGAGGCGCACGACCGACAACTAACGCGATTCAACAGATCCGGAAGAATCGCCAATATCCGAGCGAGTTGCAGGGAAGAAGTGCGGAACAGGTTGAGTCTGAGGCAATATAAAAAGAGGGCAATCGAAGGAGGCTTCTTCATCATCAATTTCACTCCGGACTAATTCTGAGGGCAGTGAGCAGCTTAATTTATTTCGATCATCAATTTATCCCGGATCAATTCTGGTCGGTACGGTTGGGTGTTGTTTTCCGGCGGCTTCAGCGAATTTCGTGATTCGACAGTCCTGACAAGTCTCCGTTCGGCACAAGTATATTAGCGAATTCTGGTTAATCTACGTACTTAGCATTTGATTTTTAGGAATTTCGTACTGCATGTTGGATTGAATTGAGGAGCTTTTTACTGCATATTTCTCTTAATGAGATTGTTGTTAATCTTTCAAAGATTTGCTAAGTAATTTGTTCTATGAACTTTTGATGAATTTACCTTTAAAATTCTGTGTTGATTTATGATCCTAAGCTTTTCCAATTTAATTGTTATTTGATTTACTGGTTCCTAGTGATTCATTTGTTTAGCTTCATGAATTGTAATTCAATTGATCTTTATTATTGGTATTTGTCTCTAGTATTTTACATTGTTAAATTAATTGTTTTTCTTGTCCGCCTTTACTTTAGCCTGCGTTTCATTTAGTTTAATCCATGTTGATTGTCGTTTAGTTTAATCTATTTGTTATTATGCATTCTGGTTTAATTTTATTGTTTAACTTCCTAAGTTTAATTGATCGTTATCTTTGGCATTTGATTCTAGTACTACATTATCAAGTCAATTATTTCTTTTAAGTTTAGTTTATTAAATTGCATTGTATCAAATCCTTGTGGGTTCGACCCTTGCTATTGCACCCTATTACTACAGTGATTCGTGCACTTGCGAGGACTATTTAAAATTGTCCATCAATTTTTGTCAGCTCTTAGTGTGTATGCGACTAGTTGTTAATTTCTTTATTTTTATATTTTGAATAACATTGTCAAAACAAATAAAAAATGGTGAAATAGCTTTGGTGAAGAGAAAATTATGACGAGATTGGTGGTGAAATTCTCTTCGTGATGGTTGTTAATTAAGTCTAAACACTTCCACGCTCTTATGAACAACAAAAGGGGCTTGAATACATAGAATGACTCATCGAACAACGTTATTGCACCCTAAACACGAGTTCTGGATTAGTCAAGATTCTCGCATGTCCTTAGGTCGTGTCTGGTTTCCAATTAGCAACCTCGTAACCTTCACAGGGTAGTCGGTTATAAACAACCTTTGTCTTTTCCTTGCCTTAATTAATGGCAAGCCTTCTTGGTTTTTCTTGAAGTTCAGCTTGTCATCCGGTCCCTGTTTAATACTTTAGTGACCAAATGCTTAGTGATGTCCTTCTCTTCCTTGGAATGCATTTGGTTGACTGCTCTCGACGTCGCATGGCGTTTGACGATTTTGTGTGTCACATGTACTTCTTACGGTGCCTTAGAACCATCAGGATCCTTATTCCAAAGTAAGACCTTTATTGCAGGGAAGTTTAGTGCACGACACTTTTCGCGCATCCGTCGCCTCTACTTGACACGTTGAGTCCTTTTCAATAACTACCCTAACACTAACCTAATAAGCATCAACCCTCATGCCACTTAGACGAAACAAGGGGTTTACACCACTGGTAGGGTTTTAGCAAGCGTTCGAAGAGATGGATATAGGTTTAGAGCAATGGCAATGATTCCAAGCTCATAACGATTTAAGGTTTCCAAGGATAAACTAGGTACAAGAGTGAGTAAGGGCATAACGGGTGTTTAATTGCTTTCAAGGATAATCAAGGATTCGAGGCAAGAGTTTCAACAATTAGAAATATCGAGAGGCTGGGATTCAAGGGAGAATGACACTTTAAGCTGGGGCAAAGGGTTCACATGTCGACACGATATACTTACCTCGCACTAGAGATTTAAGAAAAGACGTTGTTCATGCACTACTTCACTACTGGCGTTCTAGTTTTCTTTGCAGGTGGTCTGTTACTCTTTTTCCGGGTCTGTTCCTAAATTCCCCGTTGTAGAAGTTAGATTCGGTGAAGGTCAGCGGTGCTAGCGCAAGCCTCGTTGAGGGTCCTGGTTTTACTTACGGTTAAAGCCTTTCGAGTTTCGAAGTTGAGACATGCACGGGGTGGAACCGTTCTTGCAACCGTACTTTTAGGCCTTCCCAGTTGAATCCCGGTTCTTGCCTATAAGTGGGTCTCTCGTGGATCCACCAAAGGTCGGCCTCGTGTCTGAAGTAGAATGAGGCTATCTTTACGCGGCGTTCCTCTGGGCATTCCACTAACCTGAGGATTTTGTCGAAGGTTCAGATCCATTCGTCGAGGATCGTGGGATCCTCTTCTCCTGAGAAGGTGGGTGGCCGATGGTTTGAAACTTGTCGAGTGACATCCGAGTTTCCATTTGGTGGTGGCGGTGGTCGATTGTTGTTACGGAGGGCCGCGTCGCTCAGTGCCTGGGTGACCTGAGTCAGTTGTTGTAGATTCTGAGCTAGAGGATCGTGCGTGGAGGGTTCGGGGGTCCTTGATTGCCTTCTGTTTGGTGCCATGCTGATGGTCCACAGGGTCAATGTTTATTGTAATGATGAGTTAGTGTGTTGCACCCTTACCTTGATGCGATAAGCGTAGGGGGAGTTCTTAAATTAAATGTAAACAACGAATCAAACCCAAAACAGCAAAGGTGCACTCTAGGCTCCCCACGTCCTTGCTCTTGTTGTTTGTGGGTAACAAGCTGTCAGTTACTATCATGACTAGCAATTTCTGTTCAGCGGTTAGCCATTTCCTGTTTGGCCAGGTGGCCGAGGTGAAACCTTCTTCCTTACCTAGTAGGTACCCGAGGTAATCCTTATACCCCGTGCCTTGGGTACCGATCCATCCCTTCCGGTCATAGTCTGACACACCCGTGGGGGTCAGTCTTAGGAGTTTGGCCAAGCAGCCTTCAGAGAGTACTATCTCTTTGCCTCGGACTTTGGCAGTGATTTTCAACTTGCCACCCCGTTTGACGGCTACCAAGTGGCGATAGAATTCTTTCACCAACTCGGGGTACGTATCTCCTTTGATTGTGAGATAGGTATCCAAAAGCCCTTGGAAATTAAGCATATCAACCAATTCCGGAGAGAATTGGTCGGGTTCGAGGGCTTTACCTTCGATCACCGTGTAGTCGGCGTTGTTCCACTCCGGGGTTCGGATACCAACAGGCTTCTTCGGCATTGTGAGGTCTCCCTAGGTGGTGGTGTTTTTCCGGCGAGTCTCCAGCAAAGCTCCGGCGATGAGACGGCGATCTGCTTGTTTCGGACGGCGAGGGTGCGACTGGCCTGGGCGGTGCAGGCCACTGCGTTGATGGTGGGAACTTGGCTGGTGTGAGCTGCGGTGTCGCGTGGCAGTGGGCGAGCGACGGGCGGCCTGCGGGCGGTGGTGGCAACGGGTCCGTCGCAGGCAGCTTTCGGGCAGTGGAGGTAGGTTGTGCGGGTGGTCGCCGGTGGTCTTGCTGGGCGGTGGTTTTTGGCGGGATGGTTATGGCGTGCTTGGGTGTTGCTGGCGGTGTGGAGAGAGAGAGAGAGAGTGAGAGAGGGTGAGAGAGGGTGAGTGAGGAAGAAGAAGGGTTTTTGATTTGGGGGTTTTGTGGGTTTTAGGGACTTTAGGGGGTTTAAGAAGGGAGTGTTCCCTTGAGGTTTTAAGTAACACTTATAGTTTAGTGGTTAGGAACTTGGTCTTATAAGTGGGAGGTCTAGGGTTCAATCTTGATTAGTAACATTAGTTTTCTTTGTTGTGCATCCTTTGGATCTTCTCTCATCCTTCTTTTGACCGGTCTTCATTGGGTGTTGATTTTGGTGACTCATGGGTTCTTAGGGGATGTTTAGTCATTCTTTTTATGCTAATCTATTTGACTTTGTCTTTTATTTAGGGAGAAGTGTCAAATAGGCCCATGTACTATTGTCAAGTGCTCAATTCCCACCATGAACTAAATTAAATGCTAATTAACCATACTTACCTATTAAATTTGTTCAATTAACATTTTTAGCAGGTAATTGACCTTTTTTTACAGGTTACCAATTTAATTATTAAAAAATAATTTAAAAATTAAAAAAAAAAAAAAAAAAGAATAGAGGCATAGAGCCACCTCGCCGGACAGCTAGACGGTTGACGAGTTGTTCCCCAGCAGCAGCACCAACAACGGTATGTATAATGATCGCGACAATTCTCTGTTCAAACACCACCAATTAAGCTTCGGTTTTGCCGCCGCCGAGACGGCCTCGGAAACATGGGGAAACTGTTGATGATCTATTATGGGACGACGAGAACAATGAGGAGGAGGATTCATATTAATTCCCTGGTGGAGTTTCAAGCTTCAAGCTATGAAGACACATGTTCTGTACTGTGTCCATCAAACATGAACGAACACAGACACAAGCTAGCACAGCAGTTGGAGATGATCTGATCATCTTCAAGAAATTAAAGAGAAAGAGAGAATCAAATTAAATCATGATCGAGTCCTTTCAATTTAATGTATTTTGCAAGAATTCAATTTAATCATGATCGAGGACAGCCACGACTGTCTTTGAAATGGCAGCCACCGGCTGTCCGGCGAGGACAGCCGGTGGTTGTATTATTATTATTTTTTTAAATTTTTAAATTATTTTTTAATAATTAAATTGGTAACCTATAATAAAAGGTTAATTACCTGCTAAAAATGTTAATTGAACAAATTAAATTTAATAGGTAAGTGTGGTTAATTAGCATTTAATTTAGTTAATGGTGGGAATTGAGCACTT